TGGCCGAGACACCCAGGGGTGTCTAGGCCCCCTAGAGGTCCCCTAGCACCTATAAATACCCCCTAGGGCCTTTGTTTTGAGAGGAGAATTTTTGGAGAGCCTTGGCGAAGCCCTGCTGCAGTAAAGAGTGGTCGTGCGCTTCAACAAGGAGAGGAGAGGTCTACATCAGAGCCTTCATCACCCGTCCGATCCTTAGTATTAGCCCTTGGCGTTAATACTAAGAAGAGCTCATATCTCGCTTTAGCCGAGATAGACGCTTGAGCAGATCTGATTGCCCGGTGGTCCACGGATATCAACGTCCCCGTCACAGGCCAAAGACCCACGCAAGAAAGAGACGATAAACGGATCTTGCGTTTGTTTGAAAAGAGTTGTATTTTTTTTGTTTTCATTGTGTAAGGGTCTTATAAAAAGGCTATCTTTTTGTTTCATTGTAACGATTGAAGTTGTAATGAATGCAGCAATGAATACAACAACTTTTTCCGTAAACAAGCTGGCGACCACAGTGGGAGCCAACGGTATCGCTACCGACGCCGTCGTGACGCAACCGACATTCAAGATCCGGGTGAATGAAGAGATCGAATGCGAGTTCGATCAGCAAAAGTTCGAAGAAGGCCTCTCTTCCTCCTCCTCCAGATCCGCCTCTCCGAATAGGCGCAGGAAGGTAACCTCTTTCATAAATGTTTGCAGGTCCTTCAGCTCGAAAATCCAAGACCCCGTTGTCTCCGCTGCACTTGCACCACGTGACGTCCCCGCATCGTCCAACGTGGTCGAGATCGCAGATCCGGACTCCTCCTCCGCCGAGGAGATGGCTACTGAAGACGCTCCAACATTGTCAAAGAGAGCCCGACAAAGACAGCGTCAAAGCCTTGCTCGTCAGCTAATCCGCTACAATGAGGATCTCAAGTCCAGACATCGCCAAGAGCAACAATGACAAACAACCAGCCCCTCCTCCAAAGCAGAAACGAACAAATGGGTTCATGTCAAAAGAACCCGTTCTACTCTCGAGGAGCGAATCCAGAAGCGCCGCGCCTTGTGTGCGCATGCCCGAGCCCTGGTGCAAAAAGCACGAGAAATGCAAAAGGAAGAGGCAGTTAAGAGATCGCCGAGATCCAAACGAGTTTGGGTGCCAAAGGCCAAATCAACGCCTCAGGCAAAAGCAGGCGACGTTGCTCTCAGGCCCTCGTCAACTTCAGATCCCGAACCTCCGATGAATCCCCACCGCAGCGGGGATTTCACCAAGCTTAGGATTCCTCTGGAGGATCGTATCGGCACTCTACCCGAGAATCGAGGAAAAGCGCTTGATAAGGAGAGCTGGAGATCATTGAACGAGCTGCAAGCCAACACCCGGACTGGGGGTCGTACGCGACCTCCTAACAAACGGATTCCTGCAACGGCCAGCTTGGCAGTGCGTGCAAAAGACCAAGAGCCCGTTAAGGTTTCACCCTCACAATGGTGTTATTCCAAACGTGCGACTCTTGCAGGGGCCAACAAGGCAATGTTTACTCAGAAGAAAACACGTCGGACAGACGAACGGGTTATACCTGAGAACCCATGTGAGCAGCCGATAGGTTACTCCGACTGCAACGTCAGTGAGTTGTACTATCAGGCTGGGGGTGCGAATGAATCTCGAAAGAGAAACACCCGGGAAGCGGATTCTCACTGTCCGTGTACCAAATTTATCAGGGCAGGATTATCAGCCTGTAGCTGCCCCAAGACCGCTCCACAGAGGGTCTCGATATCCGAGAGAATCTCCGATGGAACGACAAAGCCCAAATCAAGGCGTTCCTACCAAAGAGGATCGATTGCTCGAGAGGATGAACCCCTAGAAGTTACCATCAACATGGTCAACAAGGGAAAATCCCCAATCATTTCAAGTGATTCCGACCCTAATTCCTCTCCAGGAAGCAGGGTCAATTCGGGAACAGCTCAGCTTCAGCTAGAAGCCGTCGGATATAACAACGACCATGTCCATGAAGGAGTCCATTCCGATGATGAACTCTCAGATTCTCATTCCGCTCTTGCTTCTGACGATACAACGTCTAGCATAGGGCAAGCTCAAGAAGTGTTCATGGTCAACACCGAGCAGATAGCCAAAATCATTGAAGAGGCCCTGGCTAAGCAGAAGGAAATCTTCAAGTTCGAAATGGAAATGGCTATGCAAGAGATGAGACAAATGCACGTCCAACAAATCCGAGCATTGTCAAATCAGCTAGTTGAATCCAGCCGTCGCACCCAGAACGCCGCAGTTAATAGCAATCCGGAAGTGGACGAAATCGTCATGGCCGACGCACCGCCCAAGAATACTGAGGGTGGCCCCACTAAAAATAACAACGCTGGGGGTGGACCCACCAGTGATGACAACACTGGGGGTGGTTGTATTATTCCTCTCGAAAATTATCCAAAACAGGATACAAACGAGACCGAAAAGATGAAGGATCTCGAAAGAAAAATTGACGCCTTGATGTCTGCTCGAGAGGTGAAGAAGACCGGCATTCTGTGTCCTTACCCGAAGGAGTGGGATTCGATCCCGTATCCGGCGAAGTTCAACCTGATCAACTTCACGCCGTTCAACGGAAAGGGCTCGCCCACTCAACATCTGATCTACTTCAAGTCCCACTTGGGGGTGATCTCTGGCAACGAGCCTTTGATGGTTCGGTCATTCGTTGGCACCCTTCGCGGGCCCGCCTTCGATTGGTACCGCCGTCTCAAGCCCGGAAGCATCAACAGCTGGGAGGACCTGGAGAGCATGTTCCTCGCTCATTTCTTCGATGATGACACCGAAGTGTCGGTCAGGACACTCTTCGATATGAAACAAAAAGACGGAGAGACGGTGGACACCTTTGTCAAACGCTTCCGCAATCAGGCAATGAATTGCAAGGATCCCGTCACGGAGGAATTCATCTTGCAGACTTGTCATAACAATTTG